TGTGTAACTGCCCCATCACCCCTCACCCACAGGCCCCAGCCGCCAAACCTGGCTATCCTCTGACTGGTGGGGATGGCAGAGTCAGATTTCTACAGGGGGACTAAAGCCTCAAGGGTGGGACTGGGACCCCTGGAGTGAGGGAGGCTCATTCCCACTTTCTCATTTGTGCACATCCCATGCCACCACTCTCTGAGTGTTTCCTACATCCATGTCCTGTCTGAGGATGATGGCCCTGGCCTCACCTCCTCCAGGAACACCTACTGACTCCCTTCACAGCCCCTGGCCACTCTGCCTGTCTCCTAGCCTGGTCTGTCACCTCCCCAGCACACGGCCTACAAGGTTCTCCGACCTTCCCATGGTGGAGACTGTTCTCCCACCCAGTCCGAGAAGATGGGCTGCTAAAGGTGGGCTCAAGGCAGGGGTACCCAGAACCTCTCTTAAAGACACATTTGCGGGGCCACCTTGCCCTCAGTCCTCCGAGGCCCAGGTCCGCAAAGGCCACCTGACAGGGCTGAAGCCCTTGGTGCTGGTGACCTTCCAGTCCCCAGTCAACTTCCATCGCTGGAAGATAGAGCAGCTACAGATCCAGATGGAGGGAGCCCCCTTCCGCAGCAAAGGTGAGCCTGGAGGGCACCCGGAGGGGCCGTGGCCTGGCAAGGGTGTGGGGAGCTTGCTGGGGGCCTCAGCAGGAGGCTGATGTCATCAGAGGGGCCCGTGGCCTGGCGGGAGCATGGAGGTTTTAGGGGGCCGCGGTGGGGTCTGTCACCTGGAGCAGGGACACGAGGAGTTACAGGGAGATCCCAGTGGTCTGCGGCCTTGGTGGGGGGCCACTGGGAGGCCCGGCAGCCTCAGTGCCCACTTCCTACCAGCAGAGCGGTGCAACGCAGAGGAAGTGTGTGCCATGAGCTGGTACACGCCCATGCCCATCAAGAACGGCAGTGTGGTCATGTACGTGGATGTCAGCAGCAATGGCCTGGGGCCCTTCATTCAAAATAAAAGGTGCCCTTTCCCGAGTCCAGGGCAGCGGGTAGACTCTGGGAGGGTCCTCCTAATCTCCAGATCCCCGAAGAAGCCAGGAGGAGACCAAAGGGAGGGAGCAGGGTAGGGAGGTGGTTGTGAGCTATGGCAGGAGCCCCTGAAACTGGAACCCTCACCTGTGCCCTGCCCCACCCCTGCTGCCAGGTTTCACGTGAACATCAACGGCTTCTTGCAGAAACAGCAAGATAACACGCTCCAATTCACTGTGGGAAACGAGGTGAGGGGCCCAGGTGGTAGAGAAACGTGGTAGAAAACGTGGGTTAAAGACAGTAGGCCAGGGCCCCAATTACTTCCCACACAAGCGGGAGACCCCACTTACAGAGTGCTCACTCTATGCCTGGCCCCCGGTGGAGTGCTCCACTAAATACGCAATCACCTTCGGTCTTCGCAATGACTCCGGGAGGGAAGGTACTCTCACAAACCCATTTTCAAGAGGAGAAAACTGAGGCCCCAAAGGGATGGAGCCATTTGCCCACAGTCTGTCAGCACATGGAAGGAGACTTGAAACTGTGTCTGCCTGTCTCCTGCACCCATAGTCTTTTTATTTTTATTTTTTTTAACGTTTATTTTTGAGAGTGACAGAGTGTGAATGGGGTGGGGGGGAAGCAGAGAGAGAGGGAGACACAGAATCTGAAGCAGGCTCCAGGCTCTGAGCTGTCAGCAGCGAGTTGGATGCGCGGCTTGAACTCACACGCTGGGAGATCATGACCTGAGCAGAAGTCTGACTCTTAACCAACTGAACTACCCAGGCGCCCCTCCTGCATCCAGAGTCTTGATCATGGTGCATCCATCCATTCATTCATTCAGCAGTTCATTCGGTGAACACACAGACCCAGATAGAGCTGAAATTCTAGGGGGAGAGACAGACACCATATAGCAAACACGCAATCAAGTAAATTCCAGAGTAGATGAGAAGGTGGTAAGTGCTCTGGAGAGCGTTCAGAGGCAAGGGGATTAGGTCTGTGCAGGAAAGGATCGCACAGTTAATGGAATGGTCAAGAAAGGCACAACCGAGAAGGTGGACATTTGAGTAAAGTTTCGGAGGAAGAGAGGAAGGAAGCACATAGATAGTTGGGGGAGAGCATTTCATATACACGGAACAGCCAGAGCAAAGGCTCGGAGGTGAGCATGTGCCCGGGGAGCCTGAGAAGCAGTGAGGAGGCCCACGTGGCTGGGAGAGAGCGAGCCAGGGGGAGAGCGGTGGTGGATGGCGTCAGGGAGGTGACAGGGACAAATCGCGTGGGGCCTCATGGGTCAGGTGAGGACTTTGGCTTTTACCCTAAATGAGATGGAGCCATGGAGGGTAGGCGGAGTGTTGAGCAGCCCTCCCGCCCCCCCGCCCCCCTCCCCCGGCAGATCTTCAATCTGATACCCCGGTACTTCATCAATGTCCCGTCGAGGCCCCTGTGGCACACCGTGGACCAGACACCCGTGCTCATCCTGGGTGGCATTCCCGATGAGAAGTCCGTCCTGCTGACTGACACCAGCTTCACGGACTTCTTTCTCGTGGAGGTGAGTGGTGCAGGGAAGGCGCTGGGCTGGGGCTTCTTGAAGGTGCTGGGCCTCAGCCCTTCCAGAGTGGGCCCCGGAGCTGTGGAAAGAGTCCCTGAAGCCATAGCAGCTCCCACGAGAGGCAGAGAGCGTGAAGGGAAGACACAAGCCTCTGCCGCCAGACCCTCTGGCTCCAGATCCTGGTTCGGCTCCCCGCTGGCTGTGTGACCCTGGGCCAAGTGATCTCACGTACCCAAGCATCATGCCCTCTGGGTCCATCCATGTTGTCACAAGTGGCAAGGTCTCATCTTTTTATGGCTGCGTGATATTTCACGCACATATGCCTGTGTGTGTGTGTGTGTGTGTGTGTGTACCACGTCTTCCTTATCTGTTCATCTATGAACGGACCCAGACTTCTTCCATATCTTGGCTATAGTAAATAATGCTACAATGAAACATAGGGTACGTATATTTTTTCAAGTTAGTGGTTTCATTTTCTCTGGGTAAACAGTAGGCAAATTACTGGATCATAGGCTAGTTCTATGTTTCATTTTTGGGGGGCCCTCCGTACTGTCTTCCACGGTGGCCGCACCCTTGTGGTTTTGATTGGCATTTTCCCAATGGCGAGCGACGGTGAGCACCTTCTCGTGTGTCTGGCCGTTGTGTGTCGTCTAAAAACATCTTTTGAGAGTCGGTTTGTTGTTGGTGTGTTGTTGGTTTGTTTGAAGCAAGTGTTTGAACCAACACACTGCATTTGGTTAAGGCTCTGGTACTCTTCCACCGGTACGCCTGCATCCCGCTCCACCCGCTTCCCCTCGCCGACCGCCTTCTTTTCAAGCAGCGAAAGCACCAGGGCTTTCATCCTATGGGATCTGGCCGCTGGCTTCTTCATGGAGTGGATGCACTTGCTCCTCTGGCCCCTGTGTGGCTCAGGCTGCCGTAAATAACAACACCGCAGACCGTGGGGCTTAAGCAAGAACTTACATTCTCACCGTTCCGGAGGCTCGGAAGTCCAAGATCAAGGTGCCAGGAGAGGCCTCTCCCCGGCTGGCAGCAAGTGCTTATATGGCCTTCTCTCTGTGCGCACGAGAGCAACCAGAGAGATCTCTGGTGTCTCTCCCTCTTCTCACGAGGAGACCAGTCCCAGAGGATTAGGAGCCCACCCTCGTGACCTCAGGGAACCTTAACTATCTCCTTCATGGCGGGGTTAGAAATTGGGAGTGGGGACGCAGTTCGGTCCATAGCGCCCCATATAGTTTCTGCCCGGAAACTGGTGTGGGGCTCTAGAAGCGTGATGGATTTTAGTTCAGCCTTTTAGGCAACAACGCTCCGCTGGTGGCGCTTTCCCACCGTTAGTGAGCATCGCCAGTGCTAGCGATTGGTCAGTGAGCTCAGATAGCGTCAGCCCGACAGCCAGCCGTGTTCAAGGTAAAATAGGGTCGTTTCACATGTGCCCCCGAGCCAAGCATGCGATCTTTGGGATCCACATAGGTGCAACCCCGACCGTGACCTGGGGGACTGAGGTTGTTTTGCACCGTTGAGTATGTTGTGCACTGCCAAACTCTGGGGAGAACACAGAGTCCCAATTGGCTCTGACCTGGGTCACCTGCTTGTCAGGTCGCCCTTGTCAGGGAAGCGCGGCCACAAGGTACTACTTGACGGTGAGCAGGGAGGGAGCCCTGGGGGCGGGTGTCTGTGTCCATCCCAGGCAGTTTTCAGAGCAGCTGTGTCCCCTGAAGGCAGGCCGTGGGGGGGTGGGGGCAGCCGAGGCAGGCCTGCTCACCGCTGACTCTGACTCCCCTCTCCCACAGTTGAACATTGACAGTTGCTGGGTGGGCTCCTTCTACTGCCCTCAGGCCAGTTTCACTGCCACCATCTGTGACGCCATCGCCACCGAGAGCACTCTCTTCATTCGGCAGAACCAGCTCGTCTACTACTTTACGGGCACCTATGTCACCCTCCACGAGAGCAACCAAGGCAGTGGTGAGGGGGTCCCTGGCATCTCAGGAAAGGGGTCCTGCCTGTGGGAGTCCCAGGGGGGGCGCCTCAGGGAACCCATCCACTGGATGCCCCCGGGACTGGAATTGCCGTGGGTGGGGAGGGGGGCGTCGGAAGGACTTTCCAAGGTCCTTAATGGTCACCACCCACCTCTATATGCTAGTGTGAGGCTTTCCTCTGGACCTGTGAGCGAGCAGAGGGTAGAGGGAGGTGTGAGAGGGAAAGAAGGGAGCAGAGAGAGAGAGAGAGACATGTGCGTGCACACACACACACACACACACACACACACACACACACACAGTGTCAGAAAGGCAGAGAGAGACATGCCAAGAGAGATGCATAGCAAAAGAGAAGTTGGGGAAGTGCCTGGGTGGCTCAGTCAATTAAATGTCTCACTTCAGCTCAGGTCATTATCTCACGGTTCATGAGTTCGAGTCCCTCGTTGGGCTCTCTGCTGTCAGCACAGAGTCCACTTGAGGTCCTCTGTCTCCCTCTCTCTCTGCCCTTACCCCGCTTGTGCTCTCTCTTTGTCTCTCTCTCAAAATAAATAAATAAACTTAAAAGGTTAAAAGAAATTTGGGGGATGGGAGAGAGGCCGGGAGGGTCAGAAAGGCAGAGAGAAAGTAGGATGGGCAATTGCAGAGGAAAAGCCTGAAGGAGACTGATCACGAGGAAAAACAGAGACTTTTGATTCAGCCTTATCTTTTATTTATTTATTTTTAACATTGATTTGTTTTTTGAGAGAGAGAAGAGAGACAGAGTGCGAGCGGGGGAGGGGCAGAGAGAGAGGGGGACACAGAATCCGAGCACAGCCTTATCTTTTAAATGATACCCAACCTTTCTAGTTCTTCTCAGCTTTCCCCCCTAAGTGAGGGATGTCACTTTATAGGGTTACAGAAACTCGTATTATAACCTGCATTTCATTAGTTAAGGCCCGTTCCCAACAGCTTCATTTTTCTCCCTCTCTCACTTAGGACATTGACAGTAGGACGAACCAAATTAAAATGGACTTAAGTCAAAGAAAGGGGTGCTGGGGCTGCTGGGTGGCTCAGTCCGTTATATGTCTGACTTGATCTCAGCTCAGGTCTTGATCTCACAGTTGTGAGTTCAAGCCCTGTGTTGTGCTCCCTGGTGGGCATGAAGCCTACAGAGAGAGAGAGAGAGAGAGAGAGAGAGAGAGAGAGAGAGAGAAAGAAAGAAAGAAAGAAAGAAAGAAAGAAAGAAAGAAAGAAAAGAGAGAGAGAGAGGGAGGGAGGGAAGAAGGAAGGAAGGAAGGAAGGAAGGAAGGAAGGAAGGGAGAGAGAGAGAGAAAATAAAAAGGAAAGAAGGACAATGAGAGAGAAAGGGAGGGAGGGAGGAAGAAAGAAAGAAAGAAAGAGAGAAAGAAAGAAGAAGGAAGGAAGAAAGGAAGGAAGGAAGAAAGGGAGAGAGAGAGAGAAAATAAAAAGGAAAGAAGGACAATGAGAAAGAAAGGGAGGAAGAAAGGAAGGAAGGAAGGAAGGAAGGAAGGAAGGAAGGAAGGAAGGAAGGAAGGAAGGAAGGAAGGAAGGAAGGAAGGAAGGAAGAAGAGAGTGTTTTTGGCTTCAATAGGTGCACTTGATTTCAGGTACAATTGGATCTAGGTGCTCACTGTAGCTTAAACAGACCCCTCCTTGTGATAGCCTTGGTGATTGCCCCCCTCCACCTAGCAACTGTGGCCTTCTACCCTTTCAGGGGCTCCAGGAAAGAGCATCTCTTTGTTAGTGGTTGGGAGCCAGGACTGTCTCTGATTTGTCCGGCATGGTCACATGCTCAGTTGAACCCACTGCTCTGGCCAGGGGAATACAAGGGCGGGGTTAGACTAATCTATACATCGTGGACAGAGTATGAGCAAGACAGATTTACTGAAAGGTACTGGGCCCTATGCCAGGGGCCCCTCAGACACCGCACGGAATAGCCATTAAGGCCGCGGAAATATGGATGAGGGTCAGGTCCCAGGTCTATAGACATGGGTCTGAGGTTCCGTGCTGGCCCCACACAGGGAGCTGGGTTCGTGTGTTGGCCAACGAGTGCATCAAGAAGCTGTGCCCTGTATATGCCCATAGCAATGGCTCAGAGTACGTCATGGCCCTCACCACTGGCAAGCGGGAAGGCTACGTCCACTTTGGGACCATCACAGGTAAGGGATGGGGCCTCTGGCGGCCCAAGAGACCAGTCCATACCCTGGCATCTGTGAGAATTCCAACCTCTAGCGCTCATCCCTCACCAGGCACCTTCAGGAGGGGTCCCAGGCTGGAGGTTGTCCCTGTGAGTGGGAATGGGTTCATGCATTTATAGGGGTGGGACTTGGGTGTGTTATGTATCTTTCATGACGTGTGTGGCTTCAAAGGACAGAAGCCCAAGCCAAAAATCATCTAGGCATAAAGAATTTGTAGACTTAAATAAGTGAAAAGGCTAGAGTCCAACTTCCGGCATGGCTAGATCCAGGGGCCCCCAGGGTATGTCATCAGGATTCTATCTCTTGGCAAGGTAGCGCAGCACAGCGATTACAGCACACGTCTGGGGAGAGATCGCTTGAACACACCCGACCCAAGTCACCTGTGGCTTTGGACAGGTGACTTAACCTCTCTTTTTGGTCTCGTTTTCCTCATCTGCAAAATGGGCCTAAGGATTATATTGGCACCTGCCTCATTGGGTTGATGTAAAGATTAAATAAGTTGGCGTGTGTAAAGGTCTTAGAACAGTGTTAGGGACATGGTGGCTGCTCTAAAAGGGTTTATTATTATGAACCCTGAGATTTGGCCTCATTCTCAGGTAGCTACCCCTCTCCTGGGAGCTAAAGATGGTCCCAGGAGCTCGGGGCTCACACGTCCCCGCAGGTGGAGTCACCCCAAAAGAATGAAAGCAGCCTCTTCCATTAGCTCTAGCAGGAATCCAGGGTGTACTCTGATTGGCCCGTTCTGGGTGTGTGCCCGGACCTGAGCCAGTTACTGTGGCCAGAGACAGACCTACTCTGGTAGGTCAGGTGTGAGTGAGGGACAGGTCAGGGTGAGACCTGCCCCCCTGAAATCCCAAGGACTAAAGGGGGCGGAGGCACCGGCACCAGGCCACCCTGGAGACCTGGCGTGGTGGGATGCCGGATGGGCTGGGAAGGGCCTGAGCACCGCCCTGCCCTGCTCCGCAGATGGCCGCGTGTCCTTCGAGTTGCTGCCCCGGCAGCGGTCTGTGTGCGAAGGGTTACAAGGTACCTAGCTCCCAGAGACCTCTGCGGCGGGCGGGTGTGGGGATCAAGGGTGTGGCAGAGCAGGGAAGGGGGGGAGAGGTCTGTGTGAAGAACGGTGTCTTGGGAGGGGTGGAGAGTCACAGAGAGGGGGTGAGGGTTACGGAGACCAGGGAGAGGGGCGGGTCCAGGGCTGCTCTGAGCCGGCCCCCTCCTACCCAGTTATGAACTGCTCCATAATTTGGGCCGTGTTCATTGCTGGAGACTACAATCTACTGCTGCTGGTGCAGATGGAAGACCCCACCACCAGGAAGTATTTCCAGGTGGTCAGCTACGATCTGGGTAATTGGGATGCTGTTGGGGGGCTGAGTGGGAAGGGGCAGAAGCCCAGATTGTGAACCTCCTGCCGGTCTGTGGGATCCGTGCTAAGGCAGACAGCGGGGCCTGGGTAAGGGATAGTGGTAGAGAACTGACCTGGTGGGATGGAGAAACAGAGGAAACCAATGTGACTGGAACAGAGGGAGACTAGGGAGGGCGGGAGATTGGAGACGGGAGCAGAAGTCAAATCTGAAAGGGCCCAGTGGCTCACAATAAGGAGATGTAATTTTATTTTACCTGAACAGAGAATAGGGCTGCCAGGTACAGTTGTGCAGGCTGCACACTGTACTCTCCAGCCAAGAAGTCAGAGGAGGCAAGTCCTGTGCCCTGACATAGGCATTTAAAGAAGCCCTAAGGGCTAACAGGCCCAGATGAGAAGCCACTGGAGGGCTTTTGGGAGGGGGTGGGAGGCTGGTGACTTGCCCAGTTTCAGGTTTTGAAAGCTCAGAGCCTCAGGAGGTTTTGCCGTGTTCTCCCCCGGTTGTAGTCGGTAATCACCTGGCCATCCTCTACACCATCCCGGAATTCATCCCTGACGGTAGGAGGGGAAGGCAGGGGGGCCTGAAAAGTGGATGAGGGCCAGGAGGGACCTGGATGGCCCTCCCCTCACTGCTGTGTCCACTCTGCCTCTCCCCCGGCCAGCTAGGGGCCTGGAGTTTCTGATGCTCCTAGGGACAGAGTCTCATACCACCTTCCTGATGGTACCCAAGGGCATGTTCTACAACCAGTATAGCAACCTGCTGTATATCTGGGGCAACTTCCTCCTGCAGAGGTACGAGGCCAGACGTATTCTGCCTTCTCAGCCCCATTAGGGCGGGGGTCCTTTCTGAAGCCATCAAGTTGTCAGAGCATGCCTAAATTCAGAAGTTACCGGGATTGGGATGGGGGACACACGGGCTGCGGGGGTGGTTAGGGCTAGGATGGGGAAGCTGATATTTTAAAGACCTGAGAGGCCTTTCTTAAATGAAACCTGATGTTAAGGACCCAAGCTGTGTGAAAGGCACTGTCTGGGGGAAAGGTTCGGACACGTTGCACCCCTCAGGAACTTAGGGGCTGTTGGCAAACCGCTGGATGGGCCAAATGCTCCTGTCTCCAGATGGGCGGGTCACCCAGAGGCTTGAGAGCAGGACCTGGAATCCCAGGCTTCCTTGCGTGTTCTCCTGAGGCTGGCAGAGAGCTGAGTAAACAGTTCTCGGGTCATGTTAGGCCTGGAGTTGGGGGAAGCAGATATCCTCCAGGGGCCTCGCCTGGGTGTCCCTCGCTCCCGTCTCTGCCCCCGCAGCTATAACTATGAAAACTTCATCTACCTGGCGGACTTCCCTAAGGAGCAGTCCATTAAGTACCTGGTCAACTCGTTCCGTGGGGACATGGCTATTGTCACAGAGACTGAGGAGGTGGGGTACCCTGCTCCTCTCCCCAACGGTCTCCCTTCTCCCTCTGTCAGGGGAAAAGGGTTCAGGGGAGGAAGTGTCCTCAGGGATCCCGCGGAAGGGCAGCGGAGGACCCTGGAACTCAAAGAGAAGTGGTGTTTTCTTCCAAAGTCTTTCAGCAGAGTTAAAGACCCAGAGTCCTGATCTGATTTCCACAGAGGGCCCTCTTTCTTTCCATCATGTGGTTCATTTCATAAATATTGAGTGCTCACTGTATGCCTGACCCAGCGCCAAGGATACAGTGGTGACTGGGTCAGCCGTGGACTTGCCCTCAAGGGTCACAGGCCAACTGGGAAGACAGAGTGTTTCCCAGAAAGTAACGATTCAGGGGAGGCAGGGCTGCAGTGGGGAAGATAGTATCTCAGGACAGATGTTCAGAAAGGGGGTGGGGCCCAGCTTCCAATTCAATCTGTGTGTGTGTGTGTGTGTGTGTGTGTGTGTGTGTGTGTGTGTGTACACCTAGGAGGGCTTCAAAGAGGAGGCTGCGTGGAGGAGGGACATCCTTAAGGTTGGACGGACTCCTCCAGGCTGAGTCTCAGAAGGGGATGAGGTCTAGAGTCAAATGTGTTGGGGGGGGGGTGGGTATCAGTGCGGAGATGGGAAACTGAGGCCAAGGGGATGGTGGGTCCCTGGAGGGTGCAGAATGAGGAGAAAATAGGGCTTGCCCCTAGGAACCCTGGCCTGCAGGGGTGTATACATTAGAAATGCTTCAGTTTCAAGTCACAGCCACTCCAGCCAACGAAACGTTGGAGACAGTTATGGCGAGCAGGGGCTGGAAGCAGGGGTGGCTGGGTTGTGGGAAGTCGAGATGGCATTATAGAGAGAAGGTATGCGAGCTTACCTGGCCTCACCCCCAGAGAATGGGGCCACCACGCTGGGCGGAGAGGTGGGGCCAGAGGTCCCCGCGGCCCTCACACATACCCACCTGGCTGTCGCACCCCAGATCTGGTACCTCCTGGAAGGCAGCTACCGGATGTACAAGCTGTTCCCATCCAGGGGCTGGGAGGTGCACATCAACCTACAGGTGATGCACCAGTCCTCCGTCTACACTCCCAATGAGACCATGGTCACCCTCTTCTATGAAGACACCAAGCTGTACCAGGTGCCAGGTGGGGGGGGGGG